ATTGCTTACACTTCAGCACAGCTAGTATCGTAATCAAATAAAATCATATCAACATTCACAAACGGAAAGATGGTAATATAGAAAGAATGAGACAAAAATAAAAGCATCACTGTCGTGACAATCATTGAAAAACTACAAAACTACACGATCAAGAATACAAACAAAATTTATGCTGAAGGATATAGCAAATCTGTCCCCGTCGTTTTAGTCAAGAAAAATTGTGAAATTAAGCAAACTGAGCCCAAAAATGTGAAATTATGCGATTCTGTTAGTTTTAAGATTCTGTTAGTTTTAACAAAGAATGATAATGGAAAATAATCAGAAATTATGCAAAAAAAGATCAAATTTTGCTAAATTATGCAGGGTGAATAAAACCACGGGGACAGGCAAATTGACATTCTTCTCCTGTTCCTTTTCAGCAATTGGACGGCCGTTACAAAATTTAACATCAATTTGTCGTAATTGTATTAAAAAATCCAACAGACTGTACAGAGTATAAAAACAACATGCGTCCAAGAAAACCAGGCACAAAGTTCATTGGCAAAAGTTTCAAGGAGGACATGGGAAGTCAGATCATAGAATTAACAGAACATTTTCATTAAAGAAATTTCAGATACAGTTTTTTTCCAAAAGAAGTAACACATAGAAGCATTAACATATACAGTAGACCTACAATTGAACACCAAGCCCCTTAACACTAAATTCCTGTTACCACGAAAATATTTCAAATTTGTCAAAAATGTATGGAGATCTCATCAACTTCATTAAAGGATAAGAATCCAGTACAGATTTCATCAATTAACAAATATCAAATAAGCCTACATCATGTCATGTTTACTCTAAAACCAAAGTTGCTCAAGATTGTTCAGTGAATGAGTGAAGAACAGGAATCTTAAATTTTCTAAAAACCCGAAAAATAGATATATATTAAGTTCCGTCGCCGAACGGTTCATTTTATATAGCCGAACTTTTGTCCAAAACTCATCGTTGAGAGGAAAAGTGGTCATCTTAGCCAACGGATCCTCTTGGACAAAGTCAATATAATATTATAGTAAAAAAAAAAGAATTTGGGGGAGGAAGAGGGAAGTGGTCGTTTGTAAAATTGATTGTCTTGTACAAGTGAGAGCAGGTTCAGCCGTACTTTTTCTCACTCATACTGACACTGTTCAAGAGGACCACCTGTCTATGATGATCATTTTTGTCCCCTCGCAATAGCTGGTCATCGCACATAGGTTTGATTGTGTATATATATATATATATATATATATTAGAGGCGGGCACGAGACGAGCCGAGTACTCGTTTCTCGCGAAAAATGCCCTTCCCGTCACTTCCCGGGCACTAAACTACTGCCCGGTACTGAGAAGCGATACTGCTCGTTGGCTTGACATAACGAGTAACAGTAACGAGAGTGAGAGAGTGAGAGGCGAGATATGACACGCAGACGGTGCCACCCCTCATCGTGCCGTCCTGTGTGTGAAAATGAAAGGGAGGGGAGAGGGTGGCGAGACGAGGCGAGTGGGGAGTTGATCAGGGCCTAGGCCTAGGTCTCCCTGCTGCCAGCCTGCTTTCCTTCACCGCCTGCGCCAGCGCAACAGGGCTAGCCTAGTTTAGATCCCCGCCACGACCGGCCTTCTCGCTAAGCGAGTTGCCCGTCGAACAGCGCGAGAAGAGAAATCTCGGCCACGGCCGGCCTTCTCGCTGAGCGAATTGCTCGTACTTCGGGGCGAGAAGAGAAATTGGTCACGAGACGAGAAGCATTTCTCGGGACCGGGACCGGTCCCGGCGAGAAGTAGGTCCGCTTCTCGGTCTTCTCGCTCGGGAAGGAAAAAGCGCTTCCTGCCCATCTCTAATATATATATTTCTAGTTTTGAATAATCCTCCCTGAGAAATGCTGTATGACAAGTTTACACAAAGTGAAATAGTGAGCAATAACAAAACAATTTTTCCCCTTTTGCCATATAAGACATATTTGTTGTTCATAAAACACACAAAACTCTCCAGCAGAAAGAAAAACACACATGAATATCTCAAGCCTTAAAAGTCTCTTCTGCTTCTTAAAAAAAGGAAAAACAAAAGAGCTGAAGCTTCAGTAAAGAGAAGCACATTGACCAAGGTATGGTCATAAAATGCTGGGAACAAAAGGAAAAGAAAGAACTAACAGACAGAAACTACAATGAAGAGAAAAGTAGTAGGACTTTAAGTGCCACCCTCCACTTCAGCGACTCCACTAAAGAGAACAGAATGAAAGCAGATGACTCTTGGGATAACAAAAACACTGAGCATCATTTCAATTTTAAAAAAAATATAAGTATTTTTCCATTTGCCTGTATAAATAAATTTCATTAAATAATGACAGAATTATAGCATTACGATATCCACATATCTTTCCAATTCGAACATATATTATGTTTACTGGATTACATTAGTACTCCAAGAGCAATAGACCATAAATCACAACATTAAAAAAATGCTGATTTTGCAGCATTTGATACAGCCATCCAAGGACACAATGCTTGAGACAATAAATATACACCATGCACATTGTAGACAGTGAAAGATCTTGTCAGAATGTTAGTGTTTTAGCGCCTATAAATGGTTGCTTGCACTGTATGCTTCCCAGGAAGTTGAGGTTGTTTCAGAATGCTCTCAGGTCTGCTGGGGTAATAGTATAGATTGTGAAGCGCATAGAGCTTGCTGTTGAGCGGGAATTAGCGCTATACAAATGTTATCTATTAGAAAGACTCCATCAGATCTGAGAACAATTCACAGATTGAATTTTTCCATGCTGGAGGGTCTTCCACATTTGCGCCAGGCCAATATTTTGTGTTCTGAATGTGGCAATAGGGAAGGTCAATTGCAAGACTCACTTTTATTTCAGAAAGCAAAACAAATTAACTTTTCAGACAAAAAAGTTCCATGACAATTATTATTGACATTTGGACCAAAGTGCAAAATCTCATGTAGGTCATAGATTGTGGATAAGCATTGAGAGCCAAAACAACAGTCAATGAGTCATGTGTTTCACAAATTAAACATGTCATGCCTTGTTTTCAGGCAGTGTAGTAAGTTGATAGTCTTAAGTTTTTTAAAAGCTGTGATGCGTAATATATTCACATCCCATCAGATGCAAGTGCCATTCTGTATTCACATTTTGAGTTCTTATGGCAACTTTGGGGAGTGCCATATAAAGGGAGCATCTTGTATGTTGTGTAGCCTTGTACATGTTGGCCAGGAACAAAAAAAGGTTGCTGAAAACTTGGAAGTGAACCATGAATTTCATATTTTCAAATATATCTTTCAGCTGATGGACCCAGACTTTTGGACCATCTTGTGTAAATACATATATATGTAATAACATTCTCTTGAAAATCAATGCAGTAGGTGTAGGCCTACTTTACTGAGGGTAACAATCTCAAAAGTAAGACACATCAGTTCTGGAATGTGCTGAAAAGGTTGAGAACACCTTAGAACACAAGTGAGCATTAAAATATGATTCCAAGAAAAACAGTATAAAGCTTAATACACACCAAAAAAAAGATGACAAAAGAGTAAAAACGAATAAAGACTTAATTCAAAAAGAATGGCATGGAGACCAACATTTGGAACAAATCAATCAGGATATTTCTTTAGTCCAGAAGACATCACAGCACAAACACATCTGACTCATCATCATCCAGTGCCAGATCTGCGACAGACATCAGCGATCATGGTTCTCCATTCATTCCTTTGCTCGGATGCTCTCAAAAAAGCTAGGCTTCCTGATCTTTCCCCGTTACCCATTTGTTTAGGTTCCCTAAGTAGGTTGTTTTGGGCCTACCCCACATCAGACTGAACCCACTAAATTCACACAGGCAGGTTCCACAGAACAACTATACAATGCACACATGTACAAGGGCAACCAATTGAAGAAAATACCCATTCACATTTGTGAGGTGTGCTGACAAAATGAGTTACTTCTCGCAATCCATGAATGGAGTATATCAGGAAAAAAATCATCACAAGGGTCATATTTTTTCATTCTAAACCAATGCTATCCATTTCAAATTTAACATGTCTTTTACCATTTAACTAGCTGGGCCCCCTTTCGATGAAAGGAATGATCGGTGCATCAACATCAACTGAAAGTCATTGGCCTACTACTACTATATTTACACTCTACTGGAATGGAGCAGTAAATCTTGAGAGAAAAGTGACACATGTGTTTCCAAGTTGCCAAATATATAATAGATGTATAGATTAATTCTCTATTCCGCCTTCGAGGTTGTACACTTCATAATTTCAAAGGTGTGGGACCAATGCGCGCTTCTATTGAACGGAAACCTCACTTGTTTACAATGGCGTCTTAGAGAAGACGGACTTTCCCAAGATAAGAACTCTGTGTGGACGAAACAAAGCATTTTGGAAAAATCGGGGAAAGCAGTTTGCGTGGACTTTTTTAAAGTTAGTCCTAGCCACACGGATGCTGTGGATGCCGGCAAAGTTTCAAAGGAGTGGGTTAGGTAATAAAGGAGGAGTTTGTGCACAAAGCTTCCCAAGTCCACTTTTATATATATTGAAACTAATAGATTGTAAAAATCCAACCTATAAATTTGACGTATCTATTTCCATCGACCTAAAATGCGAGAAGTATCTCATTTTGTCAGCACGCCTCACATTTGTCAGAACAGAAGTCATGACAATGATACCCGACATGATATATCTTTATATATACAAAATACAGGAATGTATGAAACCCACTTTAAAAAAAACAACCCCCAAAAACATACCCTCAAGACACATGGTCACAAGGGAAAAAGGTTAGATCGAAAAAATACTAGCAGGGAATAACATAAGTAGGTACCATCACAAATAACAAATAAAATAAAGCTTGTAAATAAACAAAATACTTACGATAGTCAACAAACACAATTCTCACGCATGTAAAGAAACAAAATCCTCGAAGCACAACATCCATTCCAACAGACACAAGCATCTCACAGCATTTAAATATTTCTTTTTGGGAGACTACAATCCAAAAACTTGTATAACCCACAATGCCATCACATTTTATTTTAGAGTATTTTGTAGTTGGTGTTCACCCACGCAGTTTCTGCCTGAGTAGTCATCTTGGGAAGCCAGTGGTTCCGACCTTCATTACGCATCCAGAACTTGCGGAAGCCAATCGTCTTAAACTTGTTGTAATCAGAGTACATCTTCTCGAACCTGGAAGCAAAGTAATAATAATAATAATAATAATAATAAATAGCATTTGCATAGCGCATATCCCCACTTGAAAGCAATTGCTGCAACACTGTATGTCTACTGGGGGACTGAATACCTTACTAAAATGAAACACCTGACTGTACAAGGTGTTATTACGTCATGACAACATTCCATCAGAGAGGTGACGTAGAAGTACAAACGTCCCAGAAAAAATGTCTAACTTTTAGTTTTAGTAAACGTCTTACTGCACTTGCAACACAATAAGGTCAAATAAGCATTAGAGGTGTTACAAGAGAGTAACAAACACAAAAAAGAAGGAGGGGGAGATAAGGACGATAGATGTTTGATAGGAAACAAAAAGCAAACCGCACCAGAGCACCCGCCAACCACCCACAAATGTCCAACTGTGCCTCACCTGCTATGAGCCGGGCTGTCGGAGAAGATGTGCCACTCCACCAGAATCTGAGGGAGCCCCTCCAACAAGCCCTCGGAGAGCATGTTGTCAAGGATCGCCCACTCGTTGTTCTCAACGTCCATCTTCAGGAGACTCAGGGACTTCTGAGAGACACATTGTATCGTTGATAAACAAGGGAAAAGGCAGGGACATCATGGAAACGGCCAGAGAAGGATGCACAGGACAGGCTTCGCTGGAGAAATGTTGTTGATGGCGTATGCTCCACTGGGAGTTATTTTGTTTTAGTAAGCATTTTATGGCACTTGTAGCATAATAAGGTCATATAAATGCCGAAGATTAGAGGTGTTACAAGAGAGTAACAAACAAAAAAGAAGGAGGGGAGATAAGGATGATAGTTGTATGATAGGAAAGAAAAAGCAAACCACACCAGACCACCTGCCAACCACCCACTACTGGGAGTTTTAAAAAGCGCAAGAGAGAAGAGAAGAGTGAGAAAACAAGGGATAAGGAACAGTTTTCAGGTCCATGGTAACACAAAAAATGGCATTAGTCCCATAACTTATACTCACTACTTACTATACAGTCCTAGGTTCGAAACCTGACAACAATGAAAAATTTTCTTCTCTAAAAATTTTCTCAGCAAGACCGAGAGAGCCCTACCTTCCAGCCTAGTTCAGTCCCAAACATCCCCTGCCCTCACTGCAACAGGCATTTCCGAGCGAAGATCGGCCTGATCAGCCATCTCTGCACACAACCCACCCCTCCCCCCTCCAGTGATGTGACGTCAAGGTCATCTTCGCCAAAGAAGGACAAACATCACTTACTATACAGGTGCCATTCCAAAATTTCTCATTTTAGAAAAACCTAATATCTTCCCATTTATTGCTTTCTATAGTCCCATTATTATTAAGTAGGGAGGATGTTGAACTTCATTTTGCATTTTCTGTGTTGAACATAAAAATGTGTGTATTTGTTGCCTTGTCAAATGAAAAGTAAATAAATTATAATAAAATAAATAAATAATAGATTACACTTTTATTGATCCCAGAAGGGCAATTTGGTTTACAGTGGCAAACGTACATACATACACACATACATAACTGCAATAAGAAGAGCTAAAATTTCTTGACACATGACATTAAGTGGAATAAGCTGCAGTACAAGAAAGATGCACTAACAACAGGAAAAACAAGACACTATAGCTTTTTCACTTTTATCTGTCCGCTGCCGAAATCGGGTAAAAATAAATCGCTCTTTTAAATCTAGTGAGATTTTTGCATGCCAGTCTAAAAGCTGCATTGTATGACCAACAAAATATAAAAGCCCATTAAGGAAGGACTCTGGAAACTAAAGTTCTGACACACTTTCTTGGATGCTAGCCATACGTGGATAAAAAATTAAGAGGATATATACAGCATTCATTCACCTTAAACATAAAAAAGTTTACCTATTTTCATCAAACATCACATTTCAATGCACATCTGTTAATGACCGTGCAACAAACGGGCAAGTACTTCCAGAGACTCATGTGGTGATGTCTAAACGGTCGGGGAAGGGGGCGGGGGTGGGT